CCGGCACGCGGCAGAGCACCCGCCTGAGCCCCCTGAGGCGGGCTCTGGGCTCCGGTCTCCGCCTCGCCCCGCAGCTCCCCCTCGCCCGGGTTATTTTCAGAGCAGGAACTGGCGAGCGGCGGGGCTGCGTGCTAGAAACCCGGAAACACCGGCAGGGCGCGAGAGGCGGGAGGGGGCGGCGGCAGCGCCGAGCTCACGTTACAGCCCGTCTGCAGCCGCTGCTCCAGCAGCAGGAGCAGCCCCGGGCGCGGGGAGCCGGGGCCGGGCGCGCTGCAGCCGCTGGGCAACAGGTGCCGGGGCCGGGGCCGAGCCATGAGCGGCGCGGGGCAGGAGCAGGAGTTTGACTTCGATTTCCTCTTCGAGTTCACGCAGAGCGACGAGTGCGGCGGGGGCAGAGGTGGGTGCAGGTCTCGTCCGCCCCCTCCACCGTGCGAGTCGAGCCAGCCCGGTTATTTCTGGAGCCCCGGGGGGCCGGCTGCTGCGTGTGGCCCTCTTGGCCCTCCCCAGCGCCGGGGCTGCGGCAGAGGGGCCCTGGGGAGTCACTCCCCCACCAGAGGGATGCTCCTCTCTGCCGCCTCCTTCAGGGGAGGGGGAAGGGGACGCCGGAACCGGGAGGGGGTTACAGGGGAGCTCAGGTTGACTATGAGACGGATTTCTTCTGACTAGGAGGGTGGGAAAGCCCTGCAACAGGCTGCCGGGAGGGGTGATGGTGTCTCCATCCTTGGAGGTTTTTAAGACCCGGCTAGACAAAGCCTGGGCTGGGGTGATGTAGTTGGGGATGGTCCTGCTTGGAGCAGGGGGCTGGACTAGGTGGCTTCCTGAGGGCCCTCACAACCCTCACTTCCTAGGATTGGACAGAGGGTGGCCCTCTGGGGGAGCTCCCCCTACACCCAGGAGGCACTGCAGGGCTGGCAGGAAGGGCAAAAACCAGCGTCTGTCTGTAGTGAGGCTCCACCGGCAGTGAACCTTTTCTCTGGCCCCCACACAACATGCTGTGTGGGGTCTGCTGTCCTGACAACGGCAACCTTTCCTTTGGCCAGGGGTGCAATTGTTTCTCAAGCCTCCTTAGCCACCTCACTCCTTCTCCAGTGAAGTGCTGGCAAGGGGCAAAGCCGGTTCCACACAGAAAAGGAAAGAAATGACAGTGTCTTGCTTGGAGTACGGTGCCAGGCCCTGTTAGGACTTTTCTGAGCTTTTCCATTTTATTTTGCAGCCGTGCTCATTTCACTGAATCATTGAATCCCAGCAAAAAAAAGGTTGGGAGGGGTCTCAGGTGGTCATCTGAGGCCCTGTTTAAAGCAGGACCATCCTCAAATACATCATCCCAGTCAAAGAGGAAGACAAAACTCTAAAATTCTTGGTTCAGAGGCGCTACCTTTTATTAGGCCCACTAGAAAATAGCAACAACAAAAACATCTTTGCAAAGAAAAATAATTGTTTTGCTATTTTCTAGTCCGTCTAATAAAAGGTATCACCTCTGAACCAAGAGTTTTAGAGTTTTGTATTCCTCTTTGTCTCAGACCAACACGGCTACAAAACAGATCCCTCATCCCCGCAAGGCTTTATCTAGTGGGTCTTAAAAACCTCCAAGGGTGGATATTCCACCACCCCTCTGGGTAACCCATTTCAGTGCTTATCTTCCTAGGGAGAAAGTTTCTCCTCATATCTGACCTAAACTTCCCTTGTGGCAGCTTGAGACCATTGCTCCTTGTTCTGCTATCTGCCACCACTGAGAACATTTGCCAGTCAAGCCAATGACAGGAATAGGTTTGATCACTGCTGCCCTTTCCAAACCACTTTTTTTTCTTAGTGAATAGATATTTTTTCACAGAAAAAAAAACCACCCAGATCTCACGCGGGTTCTAAAGGTGCATGCATGTATCTAGGATGTGGGTCAGGCCTGTGAAAGAGAAAGAACAAGTGGTAAAATCTTATTCAGGTCTTGGATTTATACCATCTCCTTCCCCTCCCCCCCCTCCCCACACACACACAGAAGTTAGGGGTTGCCTGCTCTCTTGTTTTATTTGGGACTCATCTCTAGGCAGGTATCTTTTAGGTAATCCAGTTGGGACACCATGATACAGTATGGGGATGCTGAGCCATCACTCTGGTGTAGTCTGCATGTAATAGTAACCATCCTTGAACTATGGCTGAAACTGCAATTGGTCTGTGAAGAAAAGACTTCACTGGGTGAATGCGACTTACCCATTTTTCCCCATGGTGAGGAAAACCCAAACACAGCAGGCCCCATGGTGGATTTTTGGAATTACTACTCTGTTTCCCTACACTTTACTATAAAGCTCTAATTCACGCTTCTGACTACAATGAAGTAGGAGCCCACGTTTGTACCTGATTATTGCAAACTCTCAAAGTGAAGCATTTGTCTGAATTTCATGATTACCCATTGCGTTCTTCTCAAGGGACCTCATGACATCCAAATGCTTGTGTTCATAGCAATGTTTTTTGAATATGCAGCTGTAAGGGTTTTAGATTTAAAAAATTCAGTTGTGGGTGCCAGAAATTTGGCATCTCTGGCCAAGGTTATCAAAAAGGCCAAATGAAATCAGGGACCCATATTCCATTGACTTCCAATAAGTTACTCACTTCATTCAGACAGCTTTGAAAACTGGACTTTAAGCTCCTAAATAGAAGGACCCTGAGTTGTTCAAAGCTCACCTCCAGGCCTATGTGAACTGCAGGTACTTAACACCCTATTAAAACAAAAAAAAGGGTGCTCAGCAGCTGGGAAGATCAACCCCCTTAATGCTCTAAAGGATTAAAACTTTAATCAGAGGAGAAAGTTGGAAATTTCCAAGTTACCACATGATGAAAAGTAATATGGTCAAACATGGTTGCAAAAAAGTAAGGGTCCAATTTCCAATCTCTGTAATACTGTTGAAGGTAACTCCCACTGACATGATTGGAGTTACTGCAGATTTGCACTCACCTAATGGAGATCTCTATTTGTCTCAAATTTAAAATATACCATGTAAATGTTCCTGGTAGCATGTTTGGTAATTCTGAGTCCTTGAATATCAATGCCAACATAGGCTTCGGGCTTGTAAACTGATCTGTGCCTTTGTGGAGCTGTGAAGTCAGTGAGTCTCCACATGGGCACAGAGATACACCTGCGGAGATCAGCTTGCAGGATTGTAGTTTGACATTTTATTTATAGCTGCCTTATTCTTACTCATGCAAAGTATAATAAATGTCAACATATTGGTATAAATTAATAACCTGTGTAAATATGGGGGGAGGGAGGTCCGGTTAATCATTTAGAACACTTGGCTTTTGCATTTTCATTAGTCATTTTTAATTTACACTCTAATGACATGACCCTGTTCCCAGTTCTTGTTCTTATTTACATGGCAGGATTTGCTTTCAGATTTGGTGTTCATACTTTTTGAAGATGCTTGAAGAAGGTGTTTTCATTTATGATAATTACATGTATTTTTGGAAGCATTTTTTTCCTATTTCTAAAATAAAAAGTGGGCAAATACTAAGAGAAGCTATTGTAATACATATGTATCAGGTACCTGTACAGTGCATTTTTTTGTAAATGTGTACTATTTTTTTTTTCTTTTTTTAAAATGTGTATTTTTTACAGATTAAGTAGGGTAAATACTTTGTTGCAAGTATTAGAGAGTGATTCTCAAACAGGAGTGCTGCCAGATCCTTTAAAGAGTGTCTCCTGGTGTGAGGACATAAGGGAGGGACGTATGAGGAGATAAGCACAGGTTCAGGCTTTTCCCTGCCTGGTGGATTGTCCACTCCCACTGTCCAGCCCCTCTGCAAGGAAGTAGGCACTTTAACATATACATTAATTTATGAAATTGGGCGTCACTCAATTTACAAAAGTTTTAGAGGGGTATCTCGAGTTCAGAGAGGGGTGCCTCAAGTCCAGAATGGCTGAGAACCACTGTATCAAATGTGGTGGTTCATTTGAAGTATTTGTGGTGCTGAGCTGCTGCAGTGGACCGGTCCCTAGCCCTCTTCTCATATGCTGTATGGGATCTGTGCTGGAGGTCTCTAGCAGACTACCATGCACTGCTTTTCACCCTAATACCCTGCTACATTTCATAGCACTCTGAAATGCACGGTGCTTTCCACACAAATAAAAATAGATCCCTGCCTAAGAAGCATGCAGTTCAAGCTCCTAATCCTACAATGAACTTTGCATGAGTGGTTGTTAAAGCCCACTTAATTTCAGGAGCATTTTACATGGGTACAAAAAAAGCTGTCAGTTTAGAGATCATTGCCAGACTGGCAGCTAACTTAAATGTTCTGTAGAGTTTAATCTTTCTTTGCCTGCAGGAGACTCATTGAGGAATGGGAATAAGTAACAGACTAGCGCCGGCTGTGTGGTGTCCATCAGAGCTATTCTATCAGTGCTGGGCAAGATGATTCTTGAAGGGCTGGAGTGGCACATGTAATGATGTGGCCACTTGTTTTTGGTTTTGTATTTGGACACAGAGGCATATCTAGTGGAGACCTAGCAGGGAAACTGTTTCCCCAGGCAGAAAAGGAGTTATGGGTTATCACTGAGTGTGTTCAGAAACTAAGCCCTCTTCTAGTGCTGCCTTGAGCTCTAGCCCTGCTGTAGTCTTGTTGCACTAAGTGGAAAGATGATCCAAACAACCTCTCCTGTATGTGCTAACATAATCTGATGAAATGCCAGGTGCTTCAAGCTCCATTTAGGTCAAAGGGATTTGTGGGTCCTCTGCAGCTCATCTAGTTGGGTTCTTACTTTGAAGGCTGCTGAGCTAATTTCTAGTGCCCCTTTAAAACTGTCGATATCCTTTTTGTTAATTCACTCCACAGGTTCAAATCCAGATTTGGGGGGGGGGGGGGGAAATTTAGCTATGCAGGCTTAGGAGTCACTTGAAAAAAAGGAAGGTATTAAGACTTTTTAAAATGGTTTTAAATTTTTGTTTTAAAAATACTAACTAATTTAGTCTTATGCACCAACCTTCACTTCACAGAAATTTGTGATGGCTGGATCCCTAAAATGGTGTATTTTATGGAGCATTCTCACTAATGTCACCACTATAATATAGTATGTCTTATTTAAATGCCACCATTTGGCTACTTTGATATTGGAAAATATGTAAACAAAATGGTGACTACAAACCCTATTAAACTGTGCCTATTAAGCTGATCAGTCTGTTTGGGTTCCCAATGATATACATGCAACACAGATCTTGTTCCATGTATACATGTGACCAAGACTTAATATACCTGAGTCCTATTTTTTTCCCTAATATGAATATTTCCAGAGGCCCAAATTGAGGCCAAGACCTCACAGTGTTAGAAATTATACAAACACATACATACGAAGAAATGAATCCATATATATTCTAAAGAGAGAAGGCAGTCAGAGGCTAGGAGAGAAAGCAAAGGCGCGCAATGGTAAAGGGGTCAAGGTTGCACAGCTTCCTGCTATCAGAGAACATGTGTCTTCTTGTCCCCAATCAAGACAATCATCTGCTATGCCCTGCTGTAACATAAGATAGCAAGATTGTTACAAAAATACTGGGCTTTATTAAGGCTGTGCTGTTAGGAAGAAAGACAATGCAAAAACTTTGTAAGAGGTAACATTGTGGTCAAGTTAATTTTTTTTCAAAGCAGCTGCCTTATTTTCTTTATAACTTAGCTGCTACTGCCTACCTTCCTAGGGTGTGATTAAAGTATCAAGCTAGAATATGTTTTGAATAGTTTTGTTTCATTTGTAGCATACTCTAGTGTAATTTAATGAATCTTTCTTGGTAAATAGCCAGTTTCCTAAGGCTAAGTACAAAGCGATTCAAATAGCTGTTGAACACATTAATACTGCCTGACAAGATATAAATCAGCTTGAACATCACAGAATTACTATACAGAACAGGCAACATATATTAATTTTATGGAAATATACCTCTTTTTGAATCATTGACATTAAGAAGTCTGACTGCTGTGTAGCTGGATAATGGCATCAAATTGGGTAGAGCTGATTAAACAATAAAAATAGTGGCAGCAAGTGTCCTGGTGCAACAAGCTCAGCAGCTCATTTGCATATTCAGGACTGCAGAGGATTGGATCATGTTGGGAATAGCAGTCATGGTAATTAACAAAGCTTTTCCGGATCTCTGCCTTCATGGTAAGCCTGGGTCACTGCCTAGAGGGTTTGCCTCTTGGGAGAGAAAGAAACAAACACTGTATAAGGAAGGACTCCTGTTGTAGGGAAGACTAGCTTGTTTATTGTTATTGTTCAGGAATGAAAAAAGTTACCTCTACTATGACAATATTCTTAAAAGGACCTTGCAATGAAAATGCATGTTAAAAATAACATGGGGAAATATTCTTTAAAAACAGGACTAACCAAAATTAGAGGATCTGTTTCTTTTCTCAATTTAGGGTCAGGTTGTGCTGTTAGGACACTGGACTGGATAAGATGAGGATCCAGAGCTCCTTCTTCAGACCTCTGAAAGGTACTGAAGAAGGATACCTACTGTGCCACCCTGTATGTGCATGAACTGGGCATCACTTGACATGGCCAGCCATCTTTGCTGGTTTGTTTAAAGAAGGCTCCCCCCTCAACTCTGATGCTAACAGGGAGCAGTACTGCAGGTATCTGTACTGGCTTTTGCACAGACAGACAGTAAGTATGTGAGTGGGGCTCCCTACACTGTATCTCCCTCACACTTTCCCACACATCTCACAAAGCGTCCTTGCAAGAGCAAACCCTATCTGGCCCTTTATAGTGCAATGTACTGAAACTCACCTACAGTCATTCAGTGACCAAGCAGTGTAGCCCATGTGGTAACATGATCTAAGATCCTGCCTAGTTTTCCTGCATTAGCTGTGTTGCTGAACCAACACTTCCAAATATATCTTAGTAATGTCGTCAAATAGATAAAGTATAGATCAGGAGAACACTGGCTGTGCTTAAAAGGTTGTATAAAATAACAAATATTATTTTAGTTGAATTCTGGGAGCACAAAGTATTAAGAACTCCATATGAATCCTTTTCCAGGTGCGGGTTTGACTAGAGGATAAGCGGACCCAGAAACTGGAGTGGTATAAGAGGGTTTTTGTATTCCAAAACTAGTTGTAAAGTAGAACCAGTGGGAACTTAACCATGGTGAAAATTTCACCTGTATGTGATTTCAGCAGAATGTATTTGATCATGTTCTTTACATTAGATGCCCCCTACTTTATTTCCCTCTTCCCTTCCCTTGTCCCCCTCCCACCCAACATTTGTTTATTTCCTCTCTTGGGTCTATAGTTCACATGTAGTCATTGCAAGCTTCTGCCTGAGTGACCAGTCTCTGAACAGTAGTTTTGTGGCTTGAAGACTGAATTCTGCTTTTAAGACTTACATTTAAGAAAGGGAGCTGTTCAAAGGAGTGTCTTGGAGATAAATTCAGTTTCACCAAGGATGTTTTGCTTCATGCCACCAGAGTACTTATACTTTAGGAAGCACCAGTTTCCAGCACCTAACCTACTTTGCATGCCTGTGCTATGTAATGTTAAGTAATGACAGTGCGTTTGTGGGATTATAGTATCCTACTTCACTAAGAATCAGTAGGTGACTGAGATTGTATCTATGTGCAACACCTCATGTCATTCTCTTTTTTTTTCCAGAACACTATAATTATGCAACTCCAAATGTAAATGCAGGTTTGCCTCTAAATGTGGCACATTCCTCATTGTCAGCTCCATGTCATGGCCTTCAGACAACCAATCCAGTCATTTCAATTGTCCCATCAACAAATCATCCTTCTGGATATGGAGGACATATTGACAGTGTGGCCTCTGAATATTATCTGTCTCCAAATGTCAGACCTAATGGAGCTCCAGCATTAGAAAGCCCTAGAATTGAGATAACTTCTTATCTGGGACTGCACCATAACAACAACCAGTTTTTCCATGATGCTGAGGTTGAGGAAGCTATCCCAAATGCTAAAAGATCACCTTCTACTGCTACTTTGAACTTACCAAACATCGAGGCTTATAGAGACCCATCTTGCCTGAGTCCAGCAAGTAGCTTGTCTTCCAGAAGCTGCAATTCTGAAGCTTCCTCCTATGAATCCAATTATTCTTATCCATATACTTCACCGCAGACATCCCCATGGCAGTCACCATGTGTGTCTCCTAAGACCACTGACACTGAGGAAGGATATCAGCGCAGTATGGTGGCCTGCACTTTACTTAATTCACCAAGACATTCTCCATCTACATCTCCCAGAACAAGCATTACTGAGGAAAACTGGTTAAGTACTCGCAACTCCAGACCACCATCTCCTTGTAATAAAAGAAAATATAGTCTAAATGGTAGACAGACCTCCTACTCACCACACCACTCTCCAACACCCTCTCCTCAGAATTCTCCTCGGGTTAGTGTAACTGATGACACATGGCTGGGAAACACTAACCAGTACACCAGTTCTGCTATAGTTGCAGCTATCAATGCCCTTACCACTGACAGTACGATAGACATGAATGATGGGATTCCTATTAAGTCTAGGAAGACTGCAATAGATCATACCCCATCCATGACACTCAAGACTGAACCAACTGGTGAGGATCCTGGGACCATATCACCAACTGCTGACTTGTCACCAGAAGAGTTTTCTGGGTTTCAGCACATCAGGAAAGGAAACTTCTGTGACCAGTACCTTTCTGTGCCACAGCACACATATCCATGGGTCAAACCAAAGTCTCTGACTCCTGCATCCTACATGAGGTACGGTTTCCTGATACTACAGGAAAAAAAATTAATAATGCCCTTATGTGTACTTTTTCTCCTTTTCTTGTCTACCTTTCCTTTTCCAACCAAATCTCTCCCCTTCCCACATGAACCATTTAATTGCTCTACTTTGCACTTCCATAACACTGCATCTTTAATGTATGGTGTGACCCTAGATAAAACCTTTATCAGTAACAATGTAATACTTGGAATCAATGGTCCTGGGAGTTGCAACTTGCAACACATTGTTCTATTCCTGGGAGACTGAATCCTATTCCTGGAAATAGAGAGACCATGAATACAGGTGCATTCAGAAACCTGGACCTGTCAGTCAGCAGGACAATAGGGTGCTGTGAAACCTGTGGCTTTAGTAATTAATTAAGCATGTTCATGTTTTCCCCATAAAACAATTACATGTCTTACTGGGATGCCTGCTAATGGAGCTCTGACAGAGTCTTTTTGGCTAAAGCCTTTTGCGCAGTGTATAAAAACATAAAATAATTTTTGTTATTTTATACAGTATTCTACTCTTATATTTCACTCACTTTATCTGAAAACTAGTCAGCAGTCTTCCTTTGCTGCATGTCTGATGGTGGATTTTCAACAATGTTTTGTCAATTAACAAAAACGTCATTGGATACTAATAACACATGACATATATCCTGTCACTTTTTTTATCATGTAGTGACACTAGTTGTCAGCATAGGAAAAGCCTATGCTGTCAGAATTTTTAAGTGAATGTAATACATCCTTAGGTATAGCGTTTATTTCTTAAATGCTCCTAGAAAAAAATCTTTCAGAAAGTCCAAATACTAGTCTATGATTTCTAGTTCTTATCATAAAAGTCAGTGAATTTGCAGGTCTGACTGGCTATGTGCTTTGATTAAATGAATTGACACTCTTTAAATGTGAAGCCAAATGGTAGATAAGTAGGGGAAATGCCTTTCCCTACATTCTCCTCTCCCCCACTTTTTTTCAAGGTTACTTCTTTGTAGTGCTGGCTGTCTTCAAAAGTCACTAAACAAATTGTGACATCTACCATAGGAAAAAGTATTGTGCCTTTTCAATTTCACACCCAGCCCTGGTCCTCCTTTCTTGGGTTTGTATAATTCTAGAATGACCAAAAGCATCTGTCTGAGTTCCCTTTAGGAACCTGATCCTGCACAGTGGTGACCAATTGCTTAATGATGCTAAATACTCTCCACTTCACTAAAGTTGCTGGGAAATGAGCACTCTATACCTTGCAGGACTGAGCTCTCAGTTTGTATAGCACCGGATAAATCCGTTAGGGCCCTCTTGCATATTTAAAAAGCCTTTTGTGTTATCCCTCCAAAGGTGTAAACTAATCTAAATTCATTGCAAAAGCAGAAAATTCAAAACACACGCATACACCAGATTTCAAGGGGAACAATATGACAATTGACCAACATTCTCTTTTATCTTTCAGTTACAGAGCGCCACCCTGTTACATGTTATTATATGCAGGCAGAATGCACCCAACATTCCAATGTGCTAAAATAAACAAAAAAGGTGAAATGTGCAAAAACTGAGCCTCAGCATGCTGTGTATTTAACATTTTTTCCACTGTTTTGGTCTTGTATAAAATATGTTTCCTGGTTCACAATATGTTTCCATGTGATCTCATTAACTTGTGCTCTGGGGCAGCTGGAAGCTACTGTAGAAATGTGATTTTAAGTTATTTCACCAATCAAATACACTGACCACGTTTCCTTTCACAAAAAATATCTCACATTTTATGTATATGAAAGAGAGATGGGTAATTGAACACAGACGTCAACAGGATCACAGACTACGCAACAGAAATGATGTTGTTTTAAATCTTTCCAAAAAACTGGATAAGAATTTGTCACAACAGATCTGGATTTTTTCCTGTTATTTTACACATCTGTTCTATTTCAATTGCTAGGATTTTAGGGTTAGGTTTCAACAAACAATTAAGATTCCAAAATCCACCCTGTCATAATGATTTTTAGATAACCACATTTGATTACCTCCTCTATCTCTTCCTGAGTATATGTTAAAATTTTCATAAAAAGAAGGCATGACTCAGAAAATCACTCTTTTTTTTCTTTACTTCTCTGAACTTCTAATTTTATTTAGTTTGTTTTTTTCTGCCCCAGACTACATGCCAGTAGTAGAGGTCCTTAGTGATATTTTGAATAGTTTCAAATGTTCGTGACCTTGTTTCACTCACATTAAAACTAGTCTAGCTTATCATAGGGTTTACCTATGAGCAAACTAGAGAATAGAGAAAAGTACAGAATTCCATCTACAGCTGAGATTTTCCTAATCCTGCAGTCTTTTAAAATCTAAAATATCTACTAATTACAGCTCCAGTTTCCAACATGTGTGAGCATTGCAGGATTGGGACAAATCAGAATTAGATCCCAATCTGGGGCTTAATGACAGAACAGCCATAGACCTGAATTTGAACAGCACTGGCCTTTTAGACTCCAATTCCTACCGACAAAAACTTTAATGCTCACACAGACACCTGTTGAAATCTTTACAGCTCTGCATGGCCACTGTAGATCACAGGGCAAAACCAAATCCCGCCACTGATACCATGGCAGGTGAAATCTGACTGAGTCTGCTGAGGTTAGAACCCTAGTGAAGGTCTAGGGCAACAGAAGGATACCTGTTATCGACCCACATGCCACTCCAATTCCTAGGGAGGCACTTGCTTGATTCTGCTGCTCTAGACAATGGTGGCATTGCCTGTTTTGGTGTTGTTCCATGAATTCAAGATTAGATTTTTTAGCCTACATTCTCCAACCCCAACAGTTAAAAAAAAACCAAGTCAGGGTCCACAAATTCTCTTCAATATCATGAGCTATCTTTAAAAAAGTGCCACATTTTAGATTAGATTTCTTCATGTTTTGTTTTGAACTAGTATGCTACTCTTCTCTCCAAGACCATGAAAGTTAGAATTCTTTTCCCCATGTCAAAGAAGGCTAAGAATCTGTCATAATCGAGATTCCAGGAAGTGGTAAATTAGTGATAAAATCACAGGAGTTGGCTCCCTTAGCCTCCCCTTTGTAATCCATGTAAAAGTCAGGTGGATTTGCTTTGCCTAGAGAAGAGAATAGGAAGCACTATCATACAGACTTGTACTTGGAGGAGTCAGAGAAAACAGGGCCAAAGACCTATTCTATAAGGATCAGACAGCAAAGCTGTTCCATAAGAGATGATAAGCTATGCTCAGCAATGACCTACAGGAGTGGGTACACACAGTCTCTGTGTTTCTGCAAGACCTGCAGCTATGCATTTTATTCCCTGGCAAAGTATTTTCAAGACCAGTAGCAACTATCCGTTATATTTGCTAAGGTATTTGATCTTGTTGGGTTAACATAGTATTCCTGAGGACTACTCTAGGGGGATATCTCAGTAAAACCGACCTCTTTATCCCCTCCTTGTTTTTGAATGTACTCAAAGTCTCTTGTGAGATCTTTATTAATGATCTTTGTTTTTGTTTTTGATGGTTTAGTTTTTAGGACAGTGCAGTATTAAATTCAGAGCAGTGAGAGATGCAATAAAGGCCTTAAGATTCTTAACTATGCTGTAGTTTTCCATGAAACATGTCTTGTGCTTTCCAAGTTCTTGCCTTAAAATCAATAAAAAACTAATTGTGCCTATACAAGTCATATTCTGAAGCTTGGGTTTTAGGACCTCAGTGCCCCTGAGCATAAAAATAATTTACACTTATATTTCACCATTGATCATGAAACATTTGAAAGGACTTTGTAAACTATATACAGGAGTCACTTGCTTCACATATCCATGAAATGCAGCTACCTCTAACATGGAAAACTGCACGAGTTTTAACAACTTATAGCTACAATTCAGCTCTGTCAAATAGAAAATGATACAAATTAGTCAAATACATTTGTAGGGAAATACACAATGCATTGATTTCTCAGTTTCCAAGCACTTCAAGGAAGAGACCATGCTTTCACGTAACAGAGCCTTATCTTGATTTTGAGCCCTACTCTAATAAAAACATTAAATAATAACAGTTCTCCTGGGCAAGCCCATTATAGCTAGGCATACAACCTGGAATCTAACCAGACCTTAGTACTGACTTTCTATCTTGGGTGCTTATATGATTTCAGTTACGATAACCTACAAACACTTCAACAGATTTCATGTATTTATTCTCACACCATTTTTCTGAGGTAAGGAAGTTCTATTCATCACTCTTTTATAGATGTGGGGAACTGAACTTCTGCCTTAGTATAGATAAACCCTACATGACATGATCAAAGTAAGAATGAAAAACCCTTGGTAGAGCAGGATGCTAACCTCTGATCTCCTAATAAACCACTGGATCATCCCTCTTTTCATTCCCCCTACAAAAAGTGCCACAAGATCTTTAATGGCCACTAGCAGTCAGACCATCTATTGTGTATCTCATTAAAAATAACAGTCTTCCATTTACACTACAGCCAAAAGCTGAACTACTGTTTCCAGAATAAATATAAGTTCTTTAGCATAGCGATGAGATGTTAATCAGATATTTTTTATTTTTAATACATTATCAACAGCTTAAATCTTGCTTGACAAACTGTCCAATTTAAATAACTGAATTAAGAAAGAAGGCACATTTTCTTAGCATGATTTCAGAGATATTTCTAAAAACTACTATAAAATTAGGAGTTAGGTATAAGAGGCAAGAGTTTTTGTGGGTGATATCTTTCATTGGACCAACTGCATGTCTGGGATAAAATTAAACAAGCGTTTGAATACAAAGTAAAAAAAAACAGTGTTTTTAATTTATATCAAGACTTTTCAACTTAAAGGCTTGGCATTTTATATGCTGAGGAAACCAAGAAATGTTACTCACATGGGTAGTCTCAGTGAGCTCAGTGGAAACACTCATGTGAGCAAAGTTACTCAAAGCCATAGGTGTTTGTGGAATTGGGCCCTAAATTTACTCATCTTAGTTCAGTTCCTACTTCCTTCATTTCTGCATTTGGGGGCCTAAATGGGGGGAAAGGTGGTTAATATAACAAGACCAATTTGCATTCCCATCTTCTGGGATTGTACAGGGACAAATCTGGTGGCTGATATAATCAAGAACAACTCTGAGGCTACTGTAACTTTGTTTAATTTTCCAGGTACCTCATTGCAGAATAGCCATAATGCCACACTTCTCAGTTGTGTTCCATGCCTGTGGGCAACTGGGCTATTATTGAGTCAGCCCAAACAGTTTTACTTGAACAGAGGATATTGTTAGACCCTGTATGCACAATGCACGGCCCCATTACTGAGATAGCAATAAGAAAAGGCCATAAGGTATCAGATTTTTCATTATACCTTTGATTTTTCTGGCATTTTTTAGGAGCAGGAGCACACATATAGCCTGATTCACCAATGCAGTATTTTCAAACTGTTGTAAAATAATTGACTGTGTGGACTACTCTTGATTTACACTTACCTCCAAGGAGCAAGATACAAATTAGACCTTATATAAAATCAGCCATGTGGTTCCCAAACCCTTAAATATAGCCAGGTTACTTAAGGGCTATTTAAAAAAAAAAGATATGGGTCACATTTACTGATTTTAAGGGTCTAAGTTTTATTCAAAAGCCACAAAGTTTGGGTTGCAAAATGTGTCATGGACTACTGAAAATGGGGCTTAGGTTTTGAAACCTTTTGGAGCACATGAGGATTTTACCCAAGGTCTTACACTTTTTGAAGTTGATAATATAATCTATTGCTTAATATCATTTCTCTTAAAGGCCGAGGTCTGTCAGCCTGGCTGATCTGTATTGATTTAAGGATGTGAAATTTCTGGTGTATGTGAAATAAGTCATTATTCATCAGTCTTGTGGCCTGATTTATGTAGGGCTGAGCTGTGCTAATCCAGTTTTTAAAAAAATGAATCCCAAGTTTGTGAACTGAGTTGAAACAACCACATTTAGCTAGATTTTAAAAGTAGCACAGCTGGATTCATTGTGACCCAGGAGAAAACTTTCATTCTTGAAAAGCAATGGGCTCAAATCTTGGCTGATGTGGTATAAATTGAAATCCATTTAACTATGTTAATCTATACCAGTCAAGATTCTTTCCCAATATTTCTTTTTCACTGCAGTGTTTAGTATCTGCAAGTTGCCTTGCTGAGCCCTCTCAAATTGATAGGGAGTAATTTTCAATACCCAGATTTATACTGTAACACTAAAACATTTGCTCGGCAACTTTTTCCCCCCCTTTTAACTATGTTATGCTGCAGGAAATTAAGTGCATGATGAAGATAACCTAAAATAGGAAATAGGTCTGACAGCCACAGCCCATGACACTGTTAAATGCATCACGCTGCTTCCTTTATCAGGAAAACTGCTCTTCATTGTCAATTTATTATTGGTCAAGAATTATTATAGAGAGATTAATGATTTTAAATGATAGATTGCAGGCTAAGCAGGAAATCATTTTTTATAACCCATGGCATACAATGAATCGGTGACTTTCTAAGTTAATTATATTGAAATTTTCAGGTATTAATTTGAAACTTCTTTAAAAATAGGAACAGATACAGTTTTTGCCAGTCAGTTTAAATGTCTTTTTTAAAATTCTTTTCCCCTTGAGGACTTAAAGATTAGTGATTGTGGTTGGACTACTGCTGGGAAGGGGGTTAAAAAGCTTTAATCTGATAGATTTTGTATTTTCAGAGTAAAGAAAAAAATCCATCACATGCAAATTTACTTAAAAAAGCAGAAACTTATTATTAAATATATGCACCGATCATCAGGAGAGATGCAGCTGTTTTGCTCTGCTCCTTGTCATTTATCATTAGTCAAACAGAGTTTCTCCAGAAACTTTTCCAGGAATGTTTCTGACAAAAATATATTTAATACACAATATACATACCATGGCAGCCTTAAACACTTGCCAGCTGACTTTAGATAACTAAGAGGATTGCTTGGCCCTTATTTGAGAGCATAATACTGAGAAAGGGCATCAGGGGCCCTGTTTCCCTTCATTCCCTCTGCACTTTGTTGCCTTTATAGAACCAGATAGACATGTAGCCCCTGTGCATAGTATGAACTGCTCTGCTGCCGTAATGTCTCAAGAGGATCACCTCCCCTCCCCCCTACGATTTCCTAAGGGCAAGGAGCAGAGTGGGCAAGTGGTGCTGCCCTCCATCACCATATGGGGTGCTGGCTGGCTAGTTGGCGAGGCTTGTAAATGGTACCTTAACAGTTCCTTAATTCTGGCAATTAGTAAGTAATAACTTTTGAACACTATATTTCTCTGTGTTACTAATATTTTTAGTATAAAATTATGCTGATTCTAAATTGTCAGAAATTCCATCGTGCTGCATCATGCTGACACTCACATGGGTAATCAGCATGGTTGTAACCCTTACATCCACCACACAGACCTCTGGCACTTGAGCTAACATTATAAGTAATACCAATAGTAAGTCATCTATTATTCTTCATGTGGATCAGCAGTAGAGGGGGTTAAAACACACTGGCCAGGTACATCTGTACCTAGTCAAAAAGCCCAAGGTAGAATCAATCTAAATTATGCAGTTTCTGTAAGTGGCTTAGTTTAGATTGGTAGGAAACAGAATATATATTCACTCTTTGGTGGAGGGGGACAAATCTTAAACCAGGTTCTACCATTTTTAAACCAATCTGTGTGTGCTGAACTTCTTTTCTGTTATAGGTATGGACAGGTTTTATGTGCCAAACTTCTGTTCTGTTATGGCTATAGACTGGTTATGATCACTTATACTGCTAAAAGTCTGTACCTGGCCATTGTGTCAACAGTTCTCACAAATGCTTGCTCATATCCCACTTCTTGCTGCTTGTTCTAGTCCTACTTCCATTTAGGATCGGGAGTGGGTGAGATGTGATGATTGCCACTTAACTCTCTTGTGTGATATCTGAGCACAGACACTAATGGGCTTTAACCATGTTATCCCAAAGATCTGCCTGGGCTTGGAATGGTACTGAGACTTGAACTACCAGCATCATTTCTAATTATGTTTGCATGTGTGCTCATGCACTTACTCCTGTATACACATCACATGTGCTGATAACAAAGTGCTGAATGAGTATTTTTTAAAAAAATATTTCCATGGTGTACATATAAGCTGAGGCCCTAATTTTAGAAAGAATTAATATGTGCATTTTTTTTTTTTTTTTTTTTACTGACCCAGTGGTGCTACTCATGATTTCTTTAAGAATTTGGTAAAGTGTCTGGTCTTAAAAAAGGGGAGGCCACATAGAGTGCTTTGAGGGAATCTGGGCTCTTTCTGATGCTGTTACAAAACTATTGGCACAAATCTTTCAAAGATGATACATTTTTGTAAAAGAAACTGATTTTTTTTTAATTAAGAAAGATGCATAAAGCCTCATAGTTTTAATTCCTTAAGGTAGTTTAATATCCAAAAAATATAGTGTGAAAGATTCTCTTTTAAAAATGTTCTTTTCCAATTAGTCAGGGCTGCTGGAGGGCTAAGTTAATATCAAAGGCCTCCAATTCACTGAATAACAGAAAGTCTGACAGATATTAGTTTTTGCCTTCTTTATAGGACACTTGTGGTTCATGGGTGTGATGTAATTCTCAAGAATCACCCCTTCACTAATGTTTTCACTTCATATTATGTTAAAGCGTGGCTCTACTCTGAAAGTGGCTATGTAAAAATGGCACTTTGTAAGTTGTCAGGTCTGCTCGTTTTAGTGACTGTAGTATGTCTTTAATATTTTTATAATTCCCGAGTCAATAAGGGCTAGAAGGAGTGAGTAGGATTCTGTTCTGGCTTGTGCATCATCATCAGGAGAATTTGAAACTAAGTTTGGTTTTCAGACTATTGTTTGTCACACATGGATCAGAAAGAACGGAGCTTCCATTTGAGAATCCAGTGGAAGTTTTCAGGATTGAAAGTTAGAGGAAAAAAGTCCTGTAAACTAAGCAGATTTGGCCTAGGCAGTGAATTACATAAAATACAGAGCTTCCATAGTACCAATTGAATGGTAATTTTAAGAGTAGAAACACTCTTTAAAAATTCTTCCAGATCTTTCCTTTCACTTTTGTCCTTAGATTCAAAGATCAATACATTAAAATGTTTTTAAACCATGCTTAGAAAATTTTTCCATTTTGTTTACAAATCTGATAGCATCTGGCTCATCAAATATTCTTTACCCATAAATCTTCATAAAATAACCATTACCTTTTAAATTACTTATGTCATGGCATTATCCATATTGATGAAATTTTAAATGTAAGATGGTGAAGGATGAACTGCTAAACATGGTCTCTAAAGTAATAGTACCAGATTCTTGTGGTTTGTGATAGTATACTTGAGATTAATATTTAATATCCTTTCCATTCCATTATAGCCCATCCCTGCCTGCCCTTGACTGGCAGTTGCCATCTCACTCAGGACCTTATGAACTTCGGATTGAAGTGCAGCCGAAATCTCATCACAGAGCTCATTATGAGACGGAAGGAAGTCGAGGGGCTGTGAAGGCATCTGCTGGGGGACATCCTATTGTGCAGGTATCAATATTTGTATTGGCAGGAAGGCTTGTTTATCCTGGCACACTGTAGCTAGCACCCCTCTACTCTTGCAAAAAAAGGGCCAAGAGATCTTTAATGACCAAAAAGAAATGAGCATATATGTATATATGTGTGTGTATATATATATATGCCTTTACATCTGTAGATCAATGTTCAAGTAATATAAGGCAGCTATATATATTTTCTTTCTTACTTTCCTTTTCCCTTCTTTTTGTTGCTGTAGTTGCATCAAAATGAAGAAGCAGCTACAAATAGATACATATCTTTTCTGTGCACTAGCATCCAACTCAACAAACATTTGGCTAGAAGCTAAAAATTGAGGGCCCATTTTACCTGTCAGAGTACACACATACAAATCCCACTGAAGGGTAAATTCCTCAGTTTATTTAGTTCTTACTCATGGCTGGATCCATTTGAAGATTTGAATGTGTGTTATAGGGAAAAGGTAAGCCCATATTATGAAAACTTCAGTAAATTAGGGGAAAGTGTAGAAGCATTTGAAATATGTTCTGTTGTAATCCTTCTACCTCTCTAGACACTAGTATGTATCTGAAACCCACATCTAATATAAGGGTTCCTGCTAACATTTTAATTTCTATATATTCTGTATTTAATAGTGTCAAATTGAATGAGATTAATCTCATTCATTTTAATGGGACTTGTTGCAGGAACAGGAGCAGGAAGATTTGTGTTCCATTTGGCTGTACAGAATGGCAATTTACAGGACTTTCTCCAGTAAGAAGTGTTAGCTAGGAGATGAGTGAATCCTATGACTCTCCTTCTCCAGAATTTAAACGCTCTAGTTTAAAAGTTTTGAAACCTTCTCTAATGAATCCCATTCCTGAAGCATAATAGACTGTTCCATTTGCTCACACAATCAGTCCCACTAAAGTCAGCAGGACTGGTTATAGAAGGCCAGGGGTTGGGTGCAGATCCATAACATTTGTTTTAAGCTAAGTGCTTGTTCAGGGGGTAGCATCCTTGCATCCAAAGATCAGCTATATGGCTGGGCGGTTTCTGACCTAGACAGAAGCTGTGCATACAAATATTGCATGTATTTGTGTAATTGCTTTAAAATCACTTATAGATTATCCAACAAATCTATTATTCAGACTGGAATCCTGTTCCTTGAAGGAATGATGCAACCTTAAGAAAGATGATACTTGGCAGGGAATGCTATGTATATTTTGTATTCCAGCGAGCTAGCTGAAGAGACTCTGAAAGTGTGTCAGCAGTCAAACATGGTTTGTCTCTCTCTGCCAAAACTCATCAGTGACATGGGATTATGAGGGAGACCTGCTGAAAGACTAAGGATTTTAGCAGAACATTTGTGAATGGCATTGTGAACGTGAGCGTTGTGGCAGCACACTTGATGACAATCAATACATACTCTGTTAGCTGCTTTCATGCAAGAAAATGTAAATAGGAAGCATCTATTTACAGTGGGCAACTTGACATTTAAAATGTTCAGCTCACTTTACAGAAAAAATGAATATGTTGCCAACACTTAATTGACATCCAGGCACTCTTCCTATCATCTCCTGTACCAGTGTGCAGGGAATGAAGTATGCGACCTCTGAATAGATAGGTTGGTGGAAAGGAAAGGAAAGGAAAGGAAAGGAGAAAAAGAAAGAGAAACAGAAAGAGAAAAGCAGAGGAGGAAGACTGGATGGAAGAAAGATGACAAAGAAGGAAAAGGAAATAATTAAAAAAAAAATGTACCCATTTCAGTCAGACCAATTTAGTTTGATAAAGATGAATCTATTTCACAGCCTTTCTACTGCAACAGGGAATTTAAACTTCACATCCCAATCCCCACCTCTCCAAAGCGAACAGAAAAACAAAAGGTAACTTTTTCCCCCTAGACTAAACAGTGTTAGAGTTAGCTGTTCAGAAAAACTAACTTTGCTTCTCTGACAAAGATAGCCCTTGGGCTTTTTTAAGAACAAATTATATACAAGAAGAAAGCATCTAGAACTCCTACCAGTGGGAAGTGAGAACTTTCATAGCTGTATTAGGACACTGAGGGTGATTTCTGATAAGCCTGGGACAGGCCAGAAGTGAGAAATGAAGATCTGAAACTCTGAGTTTCAGTCTCTGTTTTGGTTTAGTCTGTTATCTCTCCCCACATACAGACATTGGTCCAAGGTTCAGAGTCCCCATCCTTGTGTGAAACTTCACAACCATGCGGTGCATCTAAGAATGAGGGTTTGGTTTGGGTTCTTCCTTCTGATAGAGTCTGGTGTTTGTGATTGTATTACCCCATTCAAACCCATCATACAAATCTGCTGCCCCTGCCCCCACTGCCTCTCTGCACCATGTAGCCTATTCTCTTGTCCTAGCAGTTGCAGGTTTCAATGGTGATTATTTTGGTGCTTTTGGTTTAAACACATTTATTTTGGTGCTTTTGTTTCACACTTATTCCCCTGCCTAAAGGGAAAATGCAGTGGAAAAAACCCCAAAATCAGTGGAGAAATGAGGGGAGCATTAACTTCGTGCTGCTTGCTCAGACCCCCAGCAAGTCATTCAAGTCCAAAGAAGCTTCCCCTCCTTTTCTGTCTCCCAGACATGCTAACACAAACACCCTTTGTTCAGGGAGGGGAGGTAGAACGAGAAAGCAGCCTTGGAAGTAGCACAGTTCCCCAGCAAAAAAGGTTAAATGCTGTGGCAAACTGCCATGTAGGTTACTGTTCTCCAGCCAGACATTATTTGCCTCTGTTTCCTCCCTCCCCCTCCCTGCTTAATGGTCATTAGTTTTTTCATCACAGCAATAGCTCCCCTTGAAGGAGGTGGGAAAGTACAGGTACGGGGAGAAGCCAGTGACTCCTCAGGTAAACAGTCTGCCAGAAGGGAGCACGGCAGGAGGGCAGGCTCCTCTCCTGGGTATGACAGGAACTGCAGGCCTTGAGGATAACTTTCTCTTGGGTCCTCAAGGCAGGTGAAATTCATCCCTGCTGCAGAGGAAGTCATTGTGTTAGCTTTACATTGCAGCTTAGTGTTAGAAACGAAGGCTGTGTTAATACACAACATGTCATTCACTTTATTCCAAAATCATACTATGCAGAGAGTCTCCACCTTTGTATTGTCTTGCACACACAGTGGCAAGGAGTCAAGAAGGGGAGCATTTACCTAATTCCATTACCACCCTGCCAAATAAAACTCCATGCAAATAGCACAAGGAGGCTATAGCCCAAAGGTTATTTGAGCCCTGACCCCACCCTGGAGGGTACAAGTCACTTTCCAGCCCATCTGCACCCTCCAGCTTACCAGGGATGATTGCTGTAGGATTTCACCCAGCATGATTTTGTGCCTCCAGTAATTTCATTCAGTTCAGCCGTGCCCATCCCCACTGCCAGATTTACTTTATTGATGGATTTTTGTGCATGCAAATCTGCATTTAGAGGCACTCAGCAACAGGAGCCCCTTCTTTCTGTGTTACCCTCCTACACATTTCCTTTTTACTTGTTTGGGTGTTTGGTTGCCATTGCAGCCCCAAGCTATCAGTGTTCTTGATTTCTAAATGTTTTGAGAGTGGGCTGTGCTGACACACCTAGCAAGCTAAAAACACTTCAGAACATGGGCAAATTATAGTTGCTGGTGAGTTGGTGCTGATGAGGTAATGGCTGGCAAGGGTTTTTATACCTTGGCTTGTAGAATATATTACTAGTCATAATGATTCTATAGGTGATACTTTCCCCTCTGAGTCAGTCCTGTGGAAGTATATTGTGCTGCTGGAGGTGCCAGATTAGATTGAAAACTGAGACCCTCACCATTTGAGAACCAAAATCAAGTAATCACTGCAATATGTTGCACTGTCTGCAGAGGTCAAAGTTACTAACCCTACAGTTTCTTGAGGTACAATTAGATCCTAAAGTGATAGGCAAAATACAAAACTTGAAAGCACATCCACTAAAGATTTCTGGCCAAACTGCAATTGGAGTGAGTTGGCTCTAGTTACACCAGTGATGAATTTGACACACCATTTGTACAGCCTATAATCTTCCTCTGGTGATTTCATTTGGAGCTATTTCCCATTTTTCATTCTAAAAATGGTTGAGTTGGTGCTATACAAAATGGCTGTTGCATTTGACCCAAAGGTAGCTGCATTCAGCTGCAGGTGAGTAGTCTAGTACAGTGGTTCTCAACCTTTTTTGTACTGGGACCCATTTGCCAAGATTGATGGCTTGTCCCAACCCATGCCCACCTGGCCCTGACAGTGCCCAACCCACAGTCCCCTCCCCACCCCCCGAGCCATGCTGGGGCCCCTCACCCAC